TCAAAAAATGGACTCGAGCGAACGTGAACTCGAATTGAACTCGAACTCGATGCCCTCCCCTTCCTTTTCATGCCCCACTCTGGAACTGTTCTCAAATTGATCACGAACTGTATTCTGGAACTGTTCTCGAACTGTTCACGAACTGTTCCCCCCCCCTGGGGTACTTACTGCGTAATGTACCCAGGAACCTTGCTGGAAGCTGGTCTTGAAGTATGAAGCCGAGGTTCGCAAGCTGGCCTATCGCCTCATCCGTGATGGCGAAGCTCCTGACTTGGCGGAAGCCTTGTCAAAAGCGTGCAGATGCTCCGAGACTTTGACAAACTACTTCGTGGTCCCATTCAGCCTGGAGCGTCGAGATGATGGGATGAAAGACCGCAGTTCGCCGTGCAAGAATGGGTCTGCTTTGGATGCTCGCGTGCTAGATGCCTTGCTTGCCAAGCTCAACAACAAAGGTCGTGGAAAAGGCAAGGACAAGGGCGACAAGGGTGTCCTGAAGACCATCGGTAAGCACCAGGTCTCTCCAGATGGCAGGCAAGCGCTTGTGCTTCGCGTTCAACAAGGCAAAGGGGTGTAATCGTAAGGATTGTCCTTTTGTGCATATCTGTCAGCGTTGTTTTGGGCCACACTCTTATGTGGCCTGCCCAACCGTGAAGCGAACTGCCAGTGTGGAGCCTGTAGAATGACTATCCAGCGCTTCATTGCAGTCACCGGCATCGCTTGCAGTGGGACGAGATTCTTCGTGCCGGCGACTTCCTTCAGAAGGCTGCGTGAAACGGCCTGCTCCGGACGTCCAGCAAGTGCCTGCAGAAGATTGGAAGTGGGAGCGCTCTGGCGAAGATGCTTGGCGTGTGGAGCCGTCAGCGCAAGATGATCCAGATCGGATGCTGACGAGGATGGCGTCAAGAAGCCATGTTTGGGAGAAGGGCAGTGGGGCTGGGCTGGGGCCTTCCCATGTAACTAGATCCCCGAACGTGGATTCGAATGCACCCACTACAAGACTAGTCTTTTGAAATTCTGACCTTTTCAAGACGCCATCAGCAGTCTTGTTCAACTTTTCCCTAAACAGATATCTGCTCGACCCCATGCCTCGAGCAGCAAAATAAGCCCAGCAAAATAAGCCTGATTGCGAGAATGTCTTCACATGCATCAACATTGATGAGTCTTTCCTGTTATTCTTGTTGGCTTGCAACTTTGCATGCCTGAAATTTGCTCTTGCTTACAGGCAGGTGGCGGCCCAAATTGTCTGGGTTATAAATTTGAACAACTGTTACTTAAAGTACTGGCAGCCACGCCTTTCGCGTAGTGTGCTGCAGTGGAATGCAAAGACGCGTTTAAGCATGAGCAAGTGGCTGCGCCACCATGTTTGCTCGGCTTGGCGTTGAGTTTGTGCAAGGCATTTCGACTGACTGGATGTTGTTGAAGCGCGTGGCCGCAACAACCCGCTGCTCGGCCCACGTCGTTTTCACGGGCGAGTATGACCAATCTGTCCAAACACCATGAAGAAGATGCCAAGCACGCTTCTGTTACGGGCATGGCCGAAACGAGGCGGCAAGATGACGAAATGCTCTCGTCTGCGGAGTACTGCGAAGCAAGATTGAATCATCTTGAAGGATTGGCTACATTTCCGACAACGGCTGAGACTTGAGCAAACAGGGAATTCTTCACAGTTTCATTGGTGGGCGGAAGGAAGCCGGCCCCGCTGAATCTACAACACCTGGATGCTGGAATTGCAGAAGCCATTTCTAACAACTAGCCGCGGCTTGCGTGCATCCTGCGGCCGAGTTTAGGATGTACAAATGGTTTAACTATAATGACATGTGAACTTGATGACTTCAAGATTGGAATCCACAACTGGTTTTCGAGCCTGTGCCGTGTGCATGAATGAACAAACACAAAGATTAATGAAGTTGAAGGATGGGACGCGGTAGCGTGGCATGATGTGATGTAATGATTTCGTTGTGTATTTGTTACTGTTTCGGGTGGACTGTGAGGATCATGCCATGAGGTAGGGCTGTCGTCATGTTAGCTCAGCACGATGGATATATTTCTCTTCCAAATGCTTTCTGGACAACCTCGAGCTGCGTGTTGCAGTTGTTGCAATCAGTCAAATGATGGTTTCACTCGTTATTTACCAGTTGACCATTTAGCCTGAGCACCTGAAGTGACAGCCGACGCTCGTACAAAGCCCAGTCTGCGGGACTGCTCACCTGGTTTTTGTATCATCCATCCTTTGGGGTAGCCCGAAGCGAGGACTGCGCAGCCTACCCTATCAAAGAACTACGTTTTTATTTTTATTTCCGCTCCGTTTGTTAATTGATCATCTACAATGATGCATGATCATGCATATGTGCGCAGCAAGCTTAGCCCAGGTCGGTTGTTATCTTTCTGGGCTACGATGGCCGGAGCTACGTCAGAAGAGTTCAGGCAGCAATGGCAGCAAAGGAATCCCTGTAGCTTTAACAGAGCAGCCCTTCGCATCTGGCTCTCTGCCAAACTTATCCGGCACTCGATAAACCACAAAGAAGCACTGAGATTCCCAACCTGCGAACAGAACATGTTTCATGGTATGAGGACATCCCAGCGATTTGACTCGGTGAGCCAACCATACTATGGCTGAACAACAAATGTTTTCGATATCGGCAGCCAGGGCGGTTCAGAGTCTTGGGCATTCCGTTTGTAATCTAGTGGCTGCCAGTCTCCTTTCGAACAGAAACAGTTCATGGTGCGCATAGGAGGTTTCCTCAAACACATCGGCCAGGTGCTAGTGTAAGCACAATATTCAGCATTCAGGTGCAGGTACGTCATCAGGTAACGTGGAGTAATCGAGGCCATCGATGAGACTGCCGCATCAGCCAGGCTCCAGACAGCGCGGAACTTGCATCTGGCCAGCTGCAATGAGCTGTTTTGAGGACCTCCAAACCAAGGTTGGAGATCTCAGCGGAGCCCCGAGTGATAGACCACTTTACAGTGCAGACGGGAGTGCTGACTGGCTCGAGGCTGGGCTTAAATGCAAAACGCACAAATCATCTGCAAGTCGCCCGCTGGCATCCTCTGACCTTGAGGCCAAGGCGGTCAAAGGAACGTGTGGGAGCCCAGTGGGAGAGGTTCAGCGAAGTTTCAGCGACAAGTGAACGTATGACACGCCAAGGCTGGCTGCGGGTCCTTTCCCGCTCCTGGCCGTGCTGTTCCTCGGAAGCAGCCCCCCATCAACGGTAATGTGGTAAGCAGCGGCCGCCAACTTACTAAGGATGGTTGCCTTGGCCGTCACCATTCTCAGTCCTCCTATGGCATTTGCCTTCTTTGCCTGAGGCTCAACTGTTGATGTTTCTAGCATGTAACGTCAACTTTCAGAAGATGTTGCCACAGTCTTGTGTGTTTCAGCTGAAAGAAGACTGCTGGGCCGCCAAGACATATTGGGGTCAAGGTCTTGCAGTCTTGTAGGTTTTGTGTTACGACAAGCGAAGGTCACCAGCCAGCCCATTGTGACGCTTTGGCTCCTGAGCCCTGGCTGTTGTACTGTTGGCCCTTGATCGACTCGTGCACTTAGTGGCCGACTTCTTTGCATTGTAACGAGTTTGCCGAGGCTGTTGGCGAGCATTGCCATGAGCTTCTTGTTTGCTGCGTTGTCGTAGCAGATCTGAACCTGGCTTCACCGGCCCAGCGCAAGGAATGTTGCGCCCATTTCAGAGGCTGTTCCAAAGCACTACCAACGAACGGATCAATGCATGGCATTGCCATGTCATGCCATGCGTAAAGCCTGATATCGCATCGTGCAGTCTGTTTGCAATCGATGCTGTGCGCGAATCCGTTTCAAGGAAGTGTTTCAAGTTTCAGCTTATCGGTCGTCCGGCAAGTTGCCCGAGACGAAGCATTGCAGGGGCAGGCATTGTTGGTAAAGTTTTCGCGCCACAAAAAGACATCTCTCACTCGCAGCCATTTTTTTTCAGCAGGCAACAGGACTAACGCCAGGGCCGCCTGCTTTTCTTTGCCAAGGTCAGCTTCATGCATGACGCGCTGGGCCTCCACCAGATTGAGAACCCCAGTGATAGCGAAGCATGATGCTGAGCAAGCTCGTTTTTTGGAAGCCGCATCGGCTGATGTTACGATTCCTTGAACTAGGAGTGCAAGCAGAATCAAAAGTGTGCCCTTTCCAGGCCAGTGAACTGCATGATTGCGATTTGCAGCTGAGGTGGCGGTCTCCTTGCATGTCTACTCACCCCCCTTCCAGGACTCTGCCGTGCGGCGCGTGGTACAATGCGGTCCAATGCTAGCTTTCGCATAGGACATGTTTGCGTAAGAAGCAGGCGGAGTCGACAGCCGGATGGTTGCATAACTCATAAGTGTGCTTGCGGCGCGTATGTTCATCCAGTTGCATGCGCACAATTGCATTGAACCCGAGCTGACCTGTGTCTTCCCTAGTACAAGCACAGGTGGCCTCAGGTGATTGTAGGGCTGATGACTCACCAAAGCATGTTTCTTTCACTGTCGGGCACCGCCTTGCATGCCAAATTGATCGAGACTAGGAATGCCGCATATTCCCTCCAACCGGCGCACCACCAAAGTTGAAGCCCCAGAACTTGCCTTGAACTACCTGCAACCTTTTTTTATAGAGGCCTTTGGGTTAAGCAGGCACTTCCGTAGACCTATACTGCTGGGTTATCAGTTGGCCGGGATCAATCCAGTGGCCGCTGTGTTTTTTGCTAGTGGCATCTGGCAGGCTTCAGCCTCTCAACCCGCAGGGCCCATTTGATAAGCTTCTGGGGTTGAGAATTTGTGGCTTGGAAGCGATTCGTTTAAGGACTGCGCCAATGGTCAATGTTTTCGTTCCTGAGGGGCTTCAAAAGGCCCCTTGCTAGTCCATGTCTCAGACAGAGCCTCCCCTGGCAGCTTTTCATGTTTGTGCCAGGCTGCGGAGGAGTCCAGGAACCTGAGTCTGTGCGATCCATAGCGCCACACAGACACGGAGCGGAGTCCCTTTCCCGTCTGTTGAAGCGCTTTCTCCCATTGTTCAAGGCAAGACTTTTGCAGCAGGCTTAGCGATCTGCGAACGGAGGCGAAGGCAGCTGCTGGTTTCTTGTTTTTCGCGCAACCTCGAGCAGATAACTGCCAGGAGGGTGATGACAAGAACCACTTGCATCCCGTGCTCGACTTGCTGGTGTCTGCAGAGATGACTGATATGGAGTGGGTGAGGTGCTTGGCGAGAGGCTCCACCTGAGCTTTCATCTTGCTTTTGGAGCTGTTGGTGCTTGGTGCTTGCCAAGGCATCCTATGCAAGCCCTATGCACTTCAGTGAGCCCAGGGCTCACGTCGAGGGACACCTTTGAATCCCTTGTCTGATGTTTCATCTTGTTTTGACAGGGATGTCCCTACGAGCGTGAAGGTGGATTCCCTTCCTGTGGCCTCTCCACCGTATTGTGATCAGTTTAGTAGTGGAAGCCCTGCTGATGAGACTAACGGCAAGTCTTTTGCAGGACCCGGAAATTTGTAGACACTCTCCTTGATGTCGAGCTTGAGCCGTTCCCTGCCTGCATCCACCACCCCTATGCTTCACTGTATCTCAGCAGTACTGTCACCAAACCGCGTGAGAAAGCAAAGCCATCATTGAATAGTTTGCTTCGGTTTATCTGCTTTTTAGGTTCCAGCCTGTCCAGCACATTATCCACTGCGCCACCCCTAGATTCGTTTGCAGTCCATGCCACCGGCTTGTGTCCAAGTGCCTTTCGGGGTGCAAAGGGTGAAAAGCCAGTTTGCAAGTCACGGTCACGACGTACTCTAGCATTCAGAGGTGGATGCGAGATTCTTGCGTGAAATTGCTTGTGAGGTGACGACGAGTTTTCTGTTGTGATTTCCTGCTGGAGCTTGGCCCCCAAGTAGTTGCACCGTGTCTCACCGCGCCTTGAGGGCATTTTGAAAGCTGTGAGGCCCCGGCCAGAAGATCCCACCTCACACTGTTGGGCGAGGCTGCGTTGTAGCACATGCAGACAGCCTTCGTGTGATGAACCAATCCGCGTGCTTCATGCCCACTCTGAGTGACTGAGTTCGAGGCCGGGTGATGTGGCTGAAGGCCTGGACTTGAAAAGCTACTTGCCATCGTCTGGATGGGTCTCTAAATCGTCCAGCTACAAAAGAAGCCCAGTAGTAATCCCTATTGGTACGCGTTTTGAATCTTTACAGGTCGTCAAGGTGGTCAGCAATAGCTTGCAAGAGTTTGCCTCACGCTAGCCAGGCCCTCTCAGGGCAAGGTTGCTGTCATGCAGCAATTTGTGCACCATTCACACTTCATGAGCATACCGCACTTTACGCTGCACAGCGGTGCGCGGGGTTCGCAGGGTGCGCAGAGTGTGCAGGAAGCAAGGCAAAGGTGTCCAGCAGGCATATCCTGAGCAGAAGAAGCTTCCTTTTCTACTTTTGGCGTGTTTTTGCTGTTGAGGGCCGATGTTTTTCTGACGACCAGGGACCATCAAAAACCCCACTTCAAAAGCGCATAGCAAGAATGGAACAGTGGCGGACTTATACAGCTTACAATTGAGTCCGCGGCCTCAATGGGCTTTTCATCGTGCAGTGCATGGAGGGGTCAAGGTGCCCCCCCAAAAACAAGGGGCCTAGGCTTTAGGGCGATGCCCTAAGCGATTTGTGCAAGCGTTCATGCCCCTTGAAACCGTGCATGCACAAACAGGTTCCTGCAGCACGTTCAGAGTCTTTGAAGGAGCCACGGACATACTCAATCAATCAATCAATCAATCATTCAATCAATCAATCAATATCATGGGTATGTCCACCGTGTGAGCATGAGGTTTTGGGTCTGCTGCGCAGATGCGTGCGGGCCCAAAAAATATGTAAAAGAAAGTTGTCAATATTCATTCCCGCAAACCAGGCATGGAAAATTTTCGCAAGGATTTGAGGAAGGTTGAAACTACCTTGAGCGTAAATCGCAGTTAGCTCAAGGTGGTGTAAACTAGTTATAATCTATACACAAAGGGGCATGTTTGGTATACAGCCTTAGGTTTGACAGGGCTTGACGGTCACCTCCAATGTAGACAATACCCCAGGTGTGTGCTGCTGCGCAGGAATGTTTTCGAACAACCATGGAAGCATGACATGATTTTTCTAGGAAACGGTTTCCAGAAGCGATATCCGAAGCAGATGAAGGCTTGACTAAGAGACGATTTCAACGCGGTTTTCAGTCAACATGCGCAAAATCAATTTCAGCAGAAACACCCATTCCTGGCTGTCCATGTGCAACTGTGCAGCTGCATTCCTAGCTGTCTTTCTTCAGGCCTTGGCCTGTGCCAAGCGGCCCTGTGCGATTTGTAAGTCAGGCTGTTGATATTTAGTAAAGTCCTGAAACAGTGAATTCCTGGAATCCAGCATGTTCAAATATGCGGCTCAACTTGTTACCTACCGGTGCTTGTGCCAGGGTGCTGTGCCAGGGTGCTGCGCCAGCTTTGGGCCTGTCCGCATCTTGTGAGCTGAGCAGGTCCTTCATGGGAACCTCCTGTTCCAGGATGGGCTTTGTGCAGTCCAGCAGGTGTTTCTCTACAGGTAAAAAAAGGTAAAAAAAAAGATGGCTTAATGAGCAGTGGACACGAGGAGTTCTCGCCTGGCCTCTTCCCTTGGGAGAGTGATGCCAGGATCTCGTTCCATGCGCTCTAACCTGTAACGCTGACATGAGAACAAGTCTCACACTTCGCACACTCACCCTAGGTTGCCGCATTGAAGCTTTAGACTGTCATGTTTCTGCGAGGTGGAGCGCCAAACGGAGCTGGGGGAGGGCTCCGCCAGCTTCCTGGAGGTCTGCGAATCTGAGAGGTCTGTGCCATTCCAACGTGCAAACGTGCAGGGCCTGACTCTAATGCGGGTTTGTTGTAAGCACAGAATACAGCTCGCACAGCTCGCACTTGTGCAGCTCGTGACAGCTCGCAGGAGTGCGGTGTCCGGGCCTTGCCATTTTTGCTTTACCCAGCTTCGAAATCGAGACTTGAGTTCTGGGCGCCGCAAATACAAATTTGTCACTGACGATCAGGCTCTGAAAAGGGTGTTTGGCGTCAACAGCCCGCGTCATCTTTGCGCTAAGGTCCGCATGCATGATCTCAAGAATGTCAGCGATACTGAGCCCGCAGTATCGGCGGGGCACTTGAATAAGAGGTCAAAGCCGCACGTGTCCAATGCGCATGCTTCAGTGCTTGCGAGCAAATCAGTTTGGCACCGAGATCCAAGTCTTCTCTCCTCCTCTGACTTCGCCCCGGCCCCGTCATGCGGGCCACTGTGTATGCTAGGGCTTGGCCTGCAGCCTGCAGATGCGGGTTGCCTCTGCAAGCACTAGTTTGATGTGTGCTATGTCTTCACACTGCTTTATGTGGCAACAGAACGGACATCTTTAACTTGAGGATTAGGTGCTGCCATGTTTGGAAGTGAGGTTCACATTCCACTCGGAAAAGGGGACAGAGCGACGAGATCTTCCATGGTTGGTGGGGCAGGTGCTGTGACTTTTTAGTCAACCTGTCAACCAAGCAAGATGCGTCTGCAGCTGCCGCATCCTGTGGCTTGTTGTTAGCACAGTCCTGTGCGTCCGGGTATGGAAACCTCCCAGGTATCAATACCTGGCATTTGTGAGTCCATGCTACTTTCAGGC